AGGACCGTAAAGGAGAGTGGATGATGTAAGCTGTAGACAGATGTCGGTTTAAGGCACGAATCGAGAGAGTTTCCCCAATGATTGATTTAGTGCTCAAGAAACATTTTAAACTTATATCGAGTTACATAAATGGAAATCCATGTATTCAGACCGGAAAACGATTACACCCGTAAACAAAAATATTATACAAGTCAGCATTAACACACAATGTGATGAAGGACAACCCATCAATTCCGGTCTAGCAAGATGAATACATTATGAATCAGATATGACGACCATCCTGTTCCGTTTCCGGAACGGACTTTAGTGTTCCGTCATTTAACCAGCAGTATTCACGGTGACAACATGTTTTCTTCTTGCTGTAAGTTATCGTTAGAAAATGGGCGTTTCGTGGAGGTATACACGACGAAAGACAACGAATACAGAGTAGATCTACACGAATGGGAATCCGATCGATATCCTAGCCGCAAGGAAATAAGTTTAAAACCAGACATTTTTAAAACATGGTCAATGGCTTTAGACATGATTGATAACGCTTTGAACAAGAATGAAGAGTTACATTACCGCATGGGATCCAACAATTTTTGCACAATTAAAAAGGACAATCCATGTGTGGACATTCGCCAGTACTGGCAACCAGAAGGCCAAGAACCACTTGCTCCAACGAAAAAGGGACTTTGTCTTCGCCCGATCGAGTACAGAAAGTTGAAGTCTCATGTGGCTGAAATAGGGAAAGCTATTCCTGACTTCGATTCACTCGTTCCATGTTTCATGCGCGATGATCATTTGAATCAATTAGGCCTGCTCCAGTGTCCTACCTGTAACCCGCTGGATTATACCAATTGGTGAAAAGAAAGGGTGTAGGGAAAAAACTTTTTAAAGAACAATAATTAGCATGAATATTGTAATATAATTGTAAATATTTCTAGAATTATTTGTGTTTTACAGGTCTGGACGATTTCTAAATAAGGAAGTCAAGAACGATAACCGTGAATTGCTATTAATACACAGAATAAACAAGGCGCTAATCCTTCTGACCAATCAGATAACAGCATTTAGACAAACCCATGAGAGAATAAATAAAACACGTGGTTTTTAAGTTTTTTGCTCAAAAGATTTTTTTAGAACAAACTTTTTGTAAACTTTATGCACATTTGGGAATAATATTATATTTATGACAATTCGGCCCAAGTTGGTTATACGGAAAAGTAGTTCGTATTTGATTTGAAATATTTTGGTATATTAATGCGCAATATTCATTACTACGTGTATTAATTTATTAAGAAATTAGTGGTTATGTAAATTTTATTTATTTTAGAATTTGAATAAGTATGAATAATAATGATGAAATATATATCAAATTTGAAAATAATTATGAATGTGTATGTATTATGAAAAGTTTACAAGTAGAAAAGGTATACAGATTGACAGGTATACAGGTCAAAGGGTAATCTATAGGTATATAGGTCTACGGATGGAAAGTTATATGGGTTTACAGGTAGACTGGTCTATGGGTTGATAGTTCAACAGGTCTACATGAATGCAGAAATACGGGTTGACATGTCTACAGGTCTACGGGTTGATAGGTCTACGGATCGACAGGCCTACAGGTCTACGGGTCTACAAGTCTACAGGTCTACGGGTGTACAGGTCTACAGGTCGACAGGTATGCAGGTCTATGGGTCTACAGGTCTACGGGTCTACAGGTCTACAGTTCTACAGGTATAAGGGTCTGCAGGTCTACGGGTCTACAGGTCGACAGGTCTACAGGTCGACAGGTCGACAGGTCTACAGGTATACGGGTCTACAGGTCTACAGGTCTAAGGCTCTACAGGTCTAAGGCTCTAAGGGTCTACGGATCTACAGGTCTACGGGTCTACGGGTCTACAGGTCTACAGGTCAACAGGTCTACAGGTCAACAGGTCTACGGGTCTACAGGTCGACAGGTCTACAGGTATACAGGTCGACAGGTCTACAGGTATACGGGTCTACAGGTTTACAGGTCTAAGGCTCTACAGGTCTGCGGCTCTAAGGGTCTACGGATCTACAGGTCTACGGGTCTACAGGTCAACAGGTCTACAGGTCTACAGGTGTACGGCTCTACAGGTGTAAGGCTCTAAGGGTCTACGGATCTACAGGTCTACATGTCTACAGGTCTACAGGTCTACAGGTCAACAGGTCTACAGGTCAACAGGTCTACAGGTCAACAGGTCGACAGGTCTACGGGTCTACAGGTGTACAGGTCGACAGGTCTAAAAAAACAAGGGATTCAATGTTTCCTAGATATTATAGTATACAAAATTCAGATTGATGATTATAATTTTTGGACAATTTACAAATTTTTTGAGAAGTCATTGTGTAAATGAGGTAGGAAATGAAAATGTAAACAATTTATATGAGATGAATATATTGTTCAGTATTAGAAATTGGAAACGGTATGACCGATGTCATCGATAAGTTTTTGATAAACATCGCCATTTGAAAATCCGTATCGATATCTATATGAAAATTCATGCAGAAAATCCTGGATCTTGTCGTGGAGAATGCCTTTCATTTTCTTGATTTTGTTTTTCGTAATACCCCAAACGCCTTCAATTTCGTTGGTACATGTTCCATCGCTGGCTAAGAATTCTTTAGAATGATTGACTGTTTTGTGCACAAATCCCTCTGCAACCAAAGTGTTATATGCTGACCAGCAATCTGAATGAATTGTAGAACCTTCGGAAACAGATTCTTTAATTATAGGTAAAAGAGTGTCTTTATTTCTCTTTTCCACTACCCGAAAAATGACTTTTCTGGTTCCCTTTTCAACCATACCAAAAACCCACGTATTCTGTCTTCCTGTTCCTCTGTTATATTTTCTTTTTTTTCCAAATAAGCTTTCGTCAATTTCTATAATTCCCATACTATCTCCAAGTGTAATTGGATCATTCTTTAAAAATTGCAATGTCATCGATCGTAATTTGCGAAACCACTCTATAACTGTGCCATGATTAACATCAACCAGTTTTTCAATTTCATAAATTTGAAAATCCATTCCAAAGTAATATAATATTTCCGTGAGTTTTTCCAGCGATAATTTGGAATTCTGTGAAAAATTGAAAATAGTTTATAAAATTTAGAATAACAGTGTAATAAATTGATAATGTTTTAATAAAATAATTATTTGTTTTGAATCTTTATGGGTCAATTTTTTTTTCATATATTATTGAAGATGTTTCCTACCTCAAAGATTGAATTTTTCCTAATGGAACAAGATGAAATACAGCATGGGCATTTCCATTGAGCCTGATCTGATAAATCTTTTCGCTTGACTAAATTCATTTCCGATCCACATAATACACAGTCCATATGTTTTTGTAAGATGCTTATTTCCATTAAATATGATATTAAATTTTCCTTATTGGAAATAATTTTGTAAAATTCAAAAGCTTTCGGAGCCCGTTTCGAATTTTCGGAATTGGTATCCATTTTTTAAAAAAAAAATAGAACCAGTATAAGAATCTTTAGAGTATCGAAAACTTTGCTGAATAAAATTTTAAGTATCCATAGCGTTACTATGTATTTATTACAAAAAATATTATGTATCCATAACGTTACTTATATTATGACGTCACAATAGAAACGTTTCATTTCAAAGACACTTTGGATAAGCGATGGCAGCGATGAAGAAAGTTAGAACGGAGGATGTATTTGAAATTTACAAGAACTCATATAGCGTTAAAATTCCATGGAAAAATGTATTTTCAGAAGAAATTGAAAACTGGTTGACAGTGTTCGAAAAGGCGACGAATTGTTCTAAAACTTTAATTACGGCAAGCTTATTATCCTTAGTTGCGGCACTGACCGGACCAGAAAGTAAAGTTACTGTGGGAAGCAGTGAATATACCACAGTTCTTAACCAGTTTATAATCTCTGTGTGCGCGCCCGGTGGAGGAAAAAGCAACACATTTTACAGAGTTGTAGATCCAGTAATTGAGAAAATCAGAAAGAAGCACGGGGTGAATCTGCAACTGGAAACATATACAACCGCTGGTTTACAGAAGCATCAGATAGACAACAACGGATACGGTCTAATTACCAGTGATGAGGAACACCGTTTCTTAACATCCATAAATGTAAAGCAATCGAAAGGAGAGGGCGAACGTTCACTGTTATGCAAAATGTGGGGCGGGAAAGGAGACACGGCAACCCTAGTATCCGGAAACAGAGGTTTCTTGAAAACGTCAATGTCAATTTGCTTGTTTATTCAACCCCATCCCCTGCTTTCCGAATTATTCCATCTTGGAGGAGATGATGGTTTGCTTGACCGATTTCTGTTCTTTGTTTCAAAACCTATATTTAACACATCGGCAGTAACAAAAGAAAACATGCAGATACTAAAAGATTCAAATGTGCAGGACTTTGCCGAAATATTGACAAAAGTTTACGAAGAACATACTAAAGGGCAATTGTACACTCTCTCAGAAGTTGCAGAGCAAGAATTTGACGCAATGACTGACTCGTATGCAGAGTTCATAAGTAGAAAATATGGCTCAGATGAAGGTATGAAATGTTTTGATTTTTTTCTCAAATTACAATGTGTATAATTATTTTAATTTATAATTTGTTTATTTTTACTCAAAATAATTATAACGATATTATTAGTGAATGAATAATGTATTTACAAATAGATTTAAATAATGTTTTTAAAAATATTAATTAAGATTGTAGTTCTAAAAAAAATCTAGAAAAAATAATTAAATAATGCATGTAGTTATAAATGAAATTAATACAATTTATAAAATGTATTATTTTTAGAAGATGATAAGGAAAACAATGAACCTTCAATGTCTCAGAACGATCCATCTGAGGAGTCGTCCACAATTACTAGTAAGGATACAACACATATTTTGAGATTGGCAGTTGCTCTACACATCCTGCAACATAACCTGACTGGAGCTATGGAGAATAGATTAACTCCAACACCTACAGAAATTACTGAGGAAACATTGAAGCAGGCCATGGTTTTATATAATGCGGTTTCTCAACAGAAGGCTATTTTTGTACAGGTTTGTTATATTATTGTGGTCAATTTAAAAAGATAATATGGATGAGGACATGTGCACGTAGAATATGAAAGGGTCAAATATTTGTATTTTTTATCAAAATGATTAAGTTAATATATAAACCCCCCCCCCCCAACACTACTTATATTTGTGGCGCATCACGGTTTAATTAATTTCTGTCTCACACAGATGATACATATATATGTGTTGTCATCAATTAAGATATGTTTATTAGATAAATAGCATAGTTTACATATAATGTATATTTACTGAGCATAGGAAAACGTATTTAGATTTAAGTATTTATCTTGTTATTTCAGTCAGTACAAGCATTTGAGAAAGAAGTCTCCAATTTAAGAATAAAATCGGTGATGTCCTTTAGGGAAAGAGTCTTTAAGGCAGTATGCAAGGCAAAGAGCCCCTGTGTGTCAATAAGATATTTGCAGCAGCATCTTAAGGGATCTTTATCCCAGAATATCAGAAGTAAGTTATGCAATAAATATCATTGAATTAAACTGTAAAACATTAAATGATATGATGTAAAATTTTAATACAAATTTGAATTTTCATTCACACTTTTTATAAGATGTACTTGTATACTCATTAGTGTTAATGTCATTCCATTGTGCATTCTAACATGTTTTAACTTAAACCGAAGCAAGTGACATAAGTTGTTAACAAAATATAGTAATGCCAATTAATATAATATTCAGTGTTCAATATTTCTTGAAAAATTAGTTTTAATTTTGAAGGAATTTCGTATTTATATCTATAGAAAAAATTATAAACACTGTATTCTCAATGTAGGGGAATAGTTATATACGTAACATAATTAAATACTATTGAAAGTTTTCCCATATTTTCATTGATTTAGAATATATATGATTGCTATTTTTTATCAAATCAATGATACAACCATGTATGTATATGGTAATATATATGTTTTATAATTAAAATTACAATACATATTTTTAGTTGAACTAGAGCATTTGGAAAGGTTGGGATTTGGGAAATTGAAAGCATTAAAGACAAGGCAAGGGAAAAAAGATTTTTTCATGAAGATCCATCCAAACTGCATAGACGAAGAAATTGGGGAACATCAGAAGATGCTGACCACCGCAGCCATTAGTATTGAAAATTATAGGACCAACTTCAATGACGACTCAACAATCGGAGCAGATGTTAAGGCGTTTCTTATGCAGAACCATCCACAATCGGAGATGATTGAATTTCTATGGTGATTGGGAAGATTGTGAAATATTTTTTGTTATGCAGAAACATACACAATCAGAGATGAATGAGTTTATATGTTGACTGGGAATATTGTGAAATTTTTTTTTTATAATTATAAAATATCATTATTAGTGGGTGCTATATTAAGCTGTAGTCTGTACACATGTCGACCTGTAGACCTGTTGAACTGTAGAACTGTAGACTTGTTGACCTGTAGACCTGTTGACCTGTAGACTTGTTGACCTGTAGACCTATAGACCTGTTGACCTGTCGACCTGTAGACTTGTTGACCTGTAGACCTGTTGACTTGTAGACCTGTTTACCTGTAGACTTCAATTAGATATTACAGTGCAAAATAATATATATTTATGTAAGTTTATATTTTTATGTATTCATATGAATACCTATGAATATTCATGAATTCAATAAATTGAGTTAAATGCAAATAATAAATATTTAATATTTTTGATTTAAAATAACTATATACAGTTCAGAGGACTATTTACTCCTTTTTCAATATGAGTGAATCCACAGGAACTACATATCCGTATACTATACTTGATCCGACAATTCTACCGTGAACAAACACGACTTGAAAGCTTGGAATACGTTTTAAGTGGGATAAAAAATCTGTCTATAGGAGTTATAGCAATCCGAAAAGTTTACTTACGTTAAAAAATTGATATAAATACGGTAAATTTTAAATTTTTAGAGCCTGACATAAAAATCTTGTCGAAAAGATAACAGTCTGTATTATTTTTGAGTGTTTATTACAGAATACTAGTATTCCATGCAGTTTCTGATATGCGAGGTAAGATATTGGGATAAAACGCATTCATGTACATGTATAATTACAGGATTCTCTTTTCTTCACGTTAAACGTCTTTCCTTATGCCCATTTAAAGTCTGCTTAGCTAAGTATTCGGCGCTCATGAAACCCGTGATAATGCAAAACTATATGTGCATACTCCATACGATAAACACTTCTGTGAGTTGATCTATACACATGGAATTTAAGCATTATCGATGAAAATCGGACGGCTTAGCAAAATTATATTTACCATCATATGATATATTCTGGTAAATGTTATAATTGAACTGAATAAAAACTTGCTGGTGCGATCTTTAACTCTGTTAACGATTACATTCTATCGTGCATTATTTTTTTTCTTTACCGAGATAAAAATGTCAAGGTTGTTCACGGTAAAAATGTGGGGAATACTTTATTCTTCAAAAGTTTTCATCTTACTTCTACAGATCTTTTGTTAAAAAAATCTTTTTGAGGAAAAAAACAAAAGCACGTGTTTTCTTTTGTTCTTTTAAAATATGTTTCGGGGTGTGTAAAAATGCTGTTGTCTGATTGGACAGAAAAATAATTACGTGTACTTGATGTACATTTATAGCAACTTTCGGTTATCGTTCTTGACTTCCATATTTAGAAATCGTCCAGACCTGTTTTATCAGTATTGTTTCTCTTTCATTATGAATCGTTTTGCAGTAAAACCTTTTTCGATATATCACATATTACATGCGCTTGGGGTGTAAAATGTAGTTTTATTCATTAACATGTCAATAAATGAAGTTGTTAAACATGATTTCTGTTTGCTGTATGATCTGTGTTATTGTTAAACATGTTTCCGATTTGTTATATATTCATATTATACTCGGAAAGGGTATTTATCATTTTATGATTTCAACATGAGGCTGACTAACATGGTTTATCAGGGAGACATGAACTGTGTACTAAATCTCAACTTTTTGACTCGACAGTTAATTAATGTACGTTACGACCCTAGGTCCTTTCCGGATGTAATTTACCAGAATAGGAAAATCGGAGGAAATTGTTTAATATTTTCCAATGGGAAAATAAATTGTAATGGTCCTTGTGAAAGTTTCAGTCAAGGTCTAAAACGACTGAGAAAGTATGCACGCATCATACAGAAACTCGGATACGATGTACGTTTGCAAAACGTACGACTAGTCACTGCGTCTGCTTGTCACAAATTATCTGGAAAAGTGGACGCAAGTTCCTTGTCTAAAAGTTTGAATTATTCATACGACCCGGAGTTGTTTCCCGCTGTCATGTTACGACGAGAAGGTATTCATTTCACCTGTCATTTCAGGTGATGAAGGTATATTGCTGCATAAGTAAGGGAAGTTGACGATAGAAAAGTTAAAGTCATCACGTTTATCATATAGCTTGGTTGTTAGATTACCATTAGTGTCTTTTTCAAGTAAAATATCCAAGTATAAAGCAGAAGTGTCGGACTCTGTGGTATCTTTTATCTCAAGCTCACCAGGATATATCGTGTCGACGTAGGAATGAAAATTATCATTATTAATTGACAATACGTCGTCGATATATCTAAATGTCGAGTTGAAGGCCACAGCAAGTGTTTTCTTCTTTTCACGGAAAAGATTTTGCATAAATTCTGCTTCATATGAATATAAAAATAAGTCTGCTAATAACGGAGCGCAATTTGTACCCATGGGAATTCCAATAGATTGTTGGAATACCTGGTCTCCAAAAACCACATAGATATAAATGATTTTAAACAATTGATTATGATTATGACAATTAATTAAGATAAATAATTCATTTCTGGACTATAGGTCTTTGCAGATTGCATAAAAATGCACAAACGGTAATCATTTTAATCATAACTAATTTGGCTTGACAAACGTGTGCCCGAACTTTATTTTATAAAAAAACGTCAATCAAACTTTTTTTCATAGTCAGCCAAATATTTCATGGACATGGCCAAATAAATTATTTCACCAAGTTTCTCTTAAAGAAAGATTGCTCATCTATCGTCATACTCGATTCGAGGACAAGCCACAAACATCAATTTTAAAAGGTGCAATCTCAGGATAAAATAAAAGATCTAGAATTCCTCGCCAAATGGTTAGGACCAACTTTATAACAAGAAGCCAAGGGGCCTTATCGCTCACTTGAGCAACTAGCTGGATAAAAGCAAAACTTAGTTATGTTTTGAACAGTTTAAATATATTATAAAAATGGTTTCGGGGTTGGGGGTATTTAAACAAACTTAATTCTAAAAAAAAAAATTATAAAAATTTTTCCTGTTTAATTTTGATACCCCATTAAGATCCTACACTACCCCGAGGGTCATGATTTGTACTAACTTAAATCTTCGCTACCTGAAGATGATTCCACATGATGAGTCTCATCTTCTACTTCTTTTTCCTATTCATTAATATGTTGAACTTTGATACCCAATTATTCCCCCACCCTACCCCGGGGTCATGATTTGAAGAAATCTGAATCTATGCTACCTGAGTTATTCCAAAACCGCACAGCGACAAGGTTTTGGTGAAGAAGGAAGGAAAAGGGTAAATTAGTAACTTAGTTATCCGAATAAAATGAGTACGTTTAAACAAATTACTTACATCTCGTTCAAGTCAACTCAATCCTTAACCGACTCGTAAGACGTTAATTGTGAAGTGTGGCCATAAATATCTGTATCAATATGTTTTCAACATGTTGAAGGCTTTTTTTCCAGGGGGACTACTGTTACGGTCTGTACATTCAATTTTAATGTGGAAAATCATACTCTCATTAGTTCGAGGGGGGGGGGGATGTTGTGTTTTCTTTAAAAAACACAACCCTAATCCACTGACATTGTTAGGTTTCAAAAAGAATCGCTGTCGAAATAGTTATATCCAATGAATACGTTGTCGATGCAGCTTTCATATATTGTTGCGCTTACAGAGGCGGTAATAAATCATTAGTTCATCAAATTCATAAATTATGTTGTTTACATTTTTGTAGGTCATTAATCCCCCTCTTTGTCGGCTATACTAATGTGATACTATATGTTTAGTCAGTCCCAGGGCTGACTAGTTACGTGAGGATGAAACTGCAATTGCGCTTGCGTTAATTGGAATTCTAGGAAAAAGATTTGCACAGTTTTCTTCAACCAGAGGGCGTGCTTTTTCACGCACATTCACGACCTCGATCTATTTATAAACTGCATCGTTCTTCGTCGTTCTAATGACATAGACTGTTCAGCTTCTAGATAGGATATTTGTCGGTCTTTAAATGGTTGAATAACTATGAAATTATTTCAATGCTTCTAATAGAAGATAAGTACATTTACTCCCTCAATCGCCATTGCAAGCCGAAGATTCCTCTGGATGCTTGATGAAGACTTTCAATACCTTGCATAAGACATGAAGGGTTAGAATTTAAACAACAATCCACTTGCCACGTAGGTCCCAAAATCATGAAATAGTGAAAAAAGGAACGATCAATTTCTTTTCACTCTAATGATAGAAGTTATAATTATGAAAACATCAAAAGACCACTCTAAGACAGCAAATTCTCATAATTTATATGATGATGGACGTGTAAGGCCGCTTGTGAACGTGAACCGCGCCCACATTTGAGAAATTGACCACAGTGGAATGATATATAGCTGAGAGAACTGTGCTGATTTATAGATAGCCCCCCCACCCCCCACCCCCCACCCCAAAAAAATGAAAGGACAGAGAGAGAGAGACAGGGGGATGGATAACAGTATTTTATTCTATATACATGTAGTTTTGCTATGATGGTAGAAATCGAAGACATTTTCTGATACGTACTGCATGAATTTCCATTTCAAATTGTTTTCCGTGGCGTTCATTACTTTTTTTGGAAGCAATTATTTTCTTTCCTGATAACACTAAAATGGATGCTAAAACTTAGAAATTGAAGTATGCCCCCCTCCACATCATACATTGCCTCGAAATGCAGAACTAAAAATTGTTTAATAATATTTAAAAACAATCTAACACAAAGTCTACTTTCCTTTTATTTATCATAATCTATATAATTTTTATATTATTTGTCGTGATCATAGTTGCTCAAGTAGCTTTTTTTCATTTACCGGTATATGAGATGAACTTTCTCAGATGTCTGTGCCGAAGAGAATTTATTGGAGGTCATTGTAATGATCACGATGCAGACTAGCTAAAATTTAGTCTTTAACTTTTCTTACAATGGCATTTATTACATTTAAGGAACACATGATGGATAGTTCAAATCATAAACCATTACAAAACAAGATAG